CACATAGTGTCATGTCGCAGAATATAAAGTACATTTCAATAGACTAGCAGCACATAGTGTCATGTCGCAGAATATAAAGTACATTTCAATAGACTAGCAGCACATAGTGTCATGTCGCAGAATATAGAGTACAGTTTCAATGGACTCGCAGGATATAGTGTCATGTCGCAGAATATAGAGTACATTTCAATAGACTAGCAGCACATGGTGTCATGTCGCAGAATATAAAGTACATTTCAATAGACTAGCAGGATATAGTGTCATATTGCAGGATAATAAAATTAGTTTCAATGGACTTGCAGGATATAGTGTCATGTCGCAGAATATGGAGTACATTTCAATAGACTATCAGCATATAGTGTCATGTCACAGAATATAAAGTACATTTCAATAGACTAGCAGGATATAGTGTCATATTGCAGGATAATAAAATTAGTTTCAATTGACTAATAAAGTGATACATAGGTGGTTATAATGTTACTTTCAATGGACTAACACAGTAAGATGATATGTAGCTGGAAATCAATAGTGGAACTTTCACATTTTTGAAAGTTTTAATTTTCAAATTAGTTGTAAAAATCAGACAGCATGTTGATAATTTTCATTACTTTAACACTTTAGTACAAATTCTTGCTACTTACATCTTCAACAACAAATGTCCATTCTTTATCTTCAAAGTCCTTCCTTCTTTGATCTTTGAATAATGTGGCTTTGATTTCTATGTTTTCTGGAACAGGCCAAACTACGAGGCCACGGTATGGGTTTCGGATTGTAGGCTCCCAGGAACGAGGCTAAAACACATTTGTAAGTTACAAGTTATCATATTTAAAGGGCAGGTGGAATCATTATAAAGTGCAATAAAAAGAATATTTTAATTTTTTTACTTCTGGAATTATTTACGTTTTCCTGAAACTAATGATATAAGCATAAAGCAATAAACATAAAACTTTCCAGTATGTTCTGTGATATGTTTCCATGATATACAGCAAGTTTTGTTTGAAGTTAAGCACAAGACTACACAATGGGCAATCTGTTCTCTGTCCACCATGGGTATAGAAACCCGGTTTCTAGCATTGTAAGTCAGCAGACATACAGCTGGGAGTCACATACAGCAGGTATTAAATACTTATGTAATTTTATGGAACTTAACTTGAATATAACTTTTTATAACACTAAACAAGTATTTTTTAGTACTTTGTGACACTAATACTGTTTTTTTTTTTGTTTCAGAGCAAAGCCAAGTTGGGTTATCTGCTGTGTCCACCGCGAGAAATCGAGTCCCGAATTTTAGCGTTGTAAGTCTGTATACTTTCCACTGTCCAACCGGCTGAATTTGTTTTTTTAAAAAATGTTTATTTACTTTTTAAAAATTTACATATGTACATGTACTTGATAAATAGAATTTTGTTTTAGAGACTTCATACCCTCTGAATAACATATAAATAATTTGTTTTAACAATCAATCAAGATCATGAGTTATCACACTACCTGCGTTGAATATCGTCGGTTTCTTCGTGTCCAAACAACACAAAGTTTGTTGGGTTGCCTGCATATAACACACACACAAAAAAAGGTTTTAACATCACTCGTAAAAAAACAGACAAGAAATATAACACAAAATAAAAAAATAGTTTTAACATCACTCGTGAAAAAACAGACAAGAATTAGAACTGAAACAGCACGCTCACTGAATGAACTTCCAAACATCAAGTTAATATAACATGATTATCACAAATTAAAAATCAAGTATTTTGTTTAAGTAACAATAAAAAATAATCTTACTTGTATTGCTAAACTTTATTATATCCCATTTAAAAGCATCATATATGTTATATTTTACTTTATTGTATACATAACCAACGTTCATATGTAAAATCATATTTTGGAAATTTTTATCTAAGAATGTGTTGATAACCTGGTGTCGACAAATATACCTTTTTGGGTTTTAGAAACGTTTTAAAATTCGCAACATGAAATATTAAATAATTATAACCTTAATTTTCTTAGTAGAAATAAAGCATTTATCATGGCATACATGGTTTAAAAACACTTCAGTATTAATGACTGGCTATTCATAACAAGAACGTTTGGCGTACTGGTATTAATTTTCTCAACTGTTATCACATGTTTGAACTTACTGCCATCTAGTTTCCACTAGTTTAACTTGTTCATTTTATAATTATGGCAATTTCGAAATTTACAATGCATTAATTGTTTAAAGTACTATAGTCTGTCATTTACACCTTAACTGCAAGGTCCACTGGAAAGGGTAAACACTGACAGTAATGTATCTTCATTACCATTTCGTCGTTCCTTCTACCATAAGTTCCTGATAAGAAGCTGTAAATTGAAACCGTGCAGCTCGCTTGTTCGCTCGTTGCAATCTTTTCCACACAGAACTCATGGCTGCTGTTCGACTGATACTTGTTGGAGAAGCTACGTCAGTTGTCCACGCAATGGACACACGTGAGAGTGGTGATCCTTAGTCATGATGCGTCGAGACTCGTCTCTCATCCCTTGGACAACACAAAGAACAAAACATATTTGTTCTATAGCAAACATATACCACACAAAACTCAGACAATGGTAATACGTTTCTTGAAATGTAATTATTGCTAAATCAGACTAAACCCAGTTTTATTGCTATTGTTATGAACTAAACTTTTAACCTCCACAAGATAACAAACAGAAATAAAAAGTTAATAATTTATTGAATCTATTATCACAAGTATGCTTGCACTTATTATTCCAGAGTAATAGAGTAATAGAAACCCAGCAGCATTTTCATCTGGGTATAAAATTCACGGGCAAAGATAGGCTTTGAGTAGTGGGAATGTGTATTTTTATTGCTTTTAAGTTTTAGGATTTAATTCCAAGTGACTGGAATAAAATATATATTTTTATTAACTTCTGATCAAAGCAAGCTATCTACATAGATCAGAACTAAATATTAACCCAGTAATAAATATACCTAATACGATATAACGATCTTACTATAATGGTTAAAATGTACTGACTCGTCAGATAGGTGCTTTCGTATTTAGCGATATTTTCGGCCGTAATTCCAACAATATTTTACAAAGTTCGGCTGGCTTAGGAGAGTTAGATTAATCCTAGTTTCGCATATTAACCTAACAATACAAAGTAATACTTACAATAAAACATGTATAACAAAAATGAAAAATAATAAGTTACATAATAAGTATCTGAACCAATACCTTTATGACATTAACATTAAAGAAAGAGCATTTGCTGGTTTGTTTGTCGGATATTCGCGCAAAGTTACCCAAGGGCTAGCTCCACTACCTGTCTACAGATAGCCCATTGTGTTGCTTTGTGCTTAACTTCATACAATTCTTAGGCCCTCCAGTGGCACAACGGTATGTCTGCGGACTTACAACGCTAAAAACCGGGTTTCGATAGCCGTGGTGGCCAGAGCACAGATAGCCGATGGTGTAGCTTTGTGCTTAAATACAAGCAAACAACAGCATCTACCAACAACCCTTGGGCTTCTCTTGTCTAACAGAATAGTGGGATTTGACAGTCATTCTTATAATACATCCACGGTTCCAAATTACGGAGCACGATTATTTTGGGGCATTAACAGGACACGAACTATTTACCCGCAGATTCATATTCCGACATACTAATGACTAAGTCACATTCGACCCCCCAAAAAAATAATAGAACTTATATACATATATTTTAAGGTCCACAATCTAACAGAGAAAAACAATGAAATTCTAACTATCTCGAATACTAAAAACAGGTAGCATATTACAAAAGTTAAATTACAATTATAACTAAATTACTCCCATTCCCAGTTGATATCAAAAGTTTATATGCGAATAAAATGATCTCGAACTTCTTACAAAACCCAAAAAAGACAATATCTGAACGCTAAAACAATCTTCTTATACTAGCTTTACGCTTGACACTTTTACAAGTTATCAAATGATCTCCAACAACTTCCCATGTTGTTGTTTTTTTAATAATAAATTTGTCTTGAGTTTTTATTAACTCTCTTCTCTTCTGAAATCAGGCCAAATTTGGCGCGCCAAATTACTTATATTCTAAAACAATGCGATGTTTTAAGCTTAGCGTTTTCATTACTCTTAATGTGAAAAAATAAATAAATAAATATCAACAATATTTAACAACGCCAAACGGCTAGAATTGAAATTATAATGCACTTATATTAAACACCATCATAAAACTCAGTACAGATTGCTGCAAACGTCTTATTTCAATGTGTTTCAGAAACAAGAATATGCAATTTTTGTTTGTAATAATAGTCCCCATTTGCAACAACGTTTAAACCTCAAATTACACATTTGTTTTAATACCGTTCACTACCGGTGGGATCCACATGTTGCAGTAATTTAATATTTTTTTTTGCTCGATACATTACGTTTATTTAAAACAAGATTGTGGGTATATTAGTAAGTCACCAATATTAACCTAACGGTTTTTCATTAATACGTATCGAACCCTAACTAAACGGTTTTTAAACCGAGATTATGGGTTCTTTAATATGAAAGTAATCACAACCCATCAATGGTAAAAAATAAGGCTGAATTGTCTAATACACTGCCAATCCCATTCCAAAGGTATCCAAAACAACAGTGTGGGTTCGATGACGAGGAACCCACTTTGAGACTAATAATGCTTGGAGAGTGTGGGTTCTTTAATTCAACGGTATTCCTGACCCCAGGGTCTCAGAAGCAAGAACAACGCAAGCTTTTCATTGGTATATGCAACCCTAATTCGGGGTTTTGACTAAGGTTCAAGCAGTTTTGTTATGCTTATCAGTTACATGGTGTTTAGTTTTATGTGAATTAGTTTGCAACTGTACACGGTAAATACCAGAAAAAAACATTCACCTTCTCTAAATGAGTTTTTTTTATTTTCGTGTTACATTTTATTATGCAACACATATGCCATACTACAACTTTAGAACAAACAAACAAAATAGATGGGTCACAGAAATAATTCGAGAAGATGATGGATATATTTTAGCATTATTCACATACATCAGCTGAAATAATTAACTTCATAATGTATGATAACTTTATCATTTTAAATGCATTTTTTTCGCATCTAACTTTATAAACCTAGAATTTTTTTCTTCAAAGAGGTAAAAAGAAGCTGTAAGTCCATATGATAAAAAATAAGAGAAAACTGAAAATTAATTTGACGTATAACGTATATTTCAAATGAGTAAGTAACAACATAGAGGAGGATTTAAATATTTTATAGTTTAATTTATTAAGATCCTGAGTAGCTTACCTGTCAAATATACATAGTGAAACACTCTTAAAATCAGCAAGCATTCGTGTACAATGTGAAAGAAAACAGTGTATAAATTTAAATGTACAAAACTGCTGAAGAATATGTTAAATAATAGCCGCAGAATCACACTCAGGTGACTAACAGTGGAAGTCGAAAAAATATTTAACGCATTAAGAAGAAACTATTCACCCTTACCTGGAAGATAGATAAAAACTACAAACCTTCTTGATGTCCCTTTCATCCAGAAACCATGATATCTCAACTACAAAACCACTTGGTTGGTATTTATCATGCTCTCGTACTAAGGTAAAATACGAAAAGCCATGTCCTAAACTGGACTTCTACTATAATTTGAAGTCACTTGATTGTAAACTTCACTGTTAATTAGAGCTTGAAGCCAGTTAATTTTTAATTTAATATATAGTTCTAAAATTAGTTTGCTGGTGACTAATAAGCACAACTAGATATTTCTAAAATTAATTTAACTAGAAAGTAGCAAACAGTCAACTAATTCTAAAATTAATTTAGTATAAATTGAAAAACAAAACATAATTCTAAACTTAATCTAACTGTGATCTAGAAAATAAAACCACATGGTTCTAAAATTAACTAAAATAAAAAGCTCCAAAGTTCAAAAATTAACTAAAATAAAAAGCTACAAGGTTCAAAAATTAACTAAAATAAAAAGCTACAAGGTTCAAAAATTAACTTAACTACAACCTAGAAACCAAAGCCACGTAGTTCTAAAATTAACTTAACTGTAATGTATTAAACAAATTCATCCAATAATAAGCTTAATATAAACTATAAAACAAAGCCACGTGGTTCTAAACTTAACCTAACGGTAATCTAGAGTAATGGTTTCCACCCTTTTCATGCTGTGTTCCCCTAGTTAGACCTTTGATCCAGCAATGTACATCTGATGCATATAACTTGTTTAAAAAAATAATGTGGTATTTTCAGGGGCATACATTTCCCTTAAAGTAATCTGTTTAGTGCCCGATAACTGGAGGTTCAGAGAATACCAAGTTACAGAGTATGTGTTGTGTTTTTCTCTAGACTCTGATTAATCAACAAACAAAGTCATAAACTAGTTTAAGCAAGAATAAATACTAGCTCTCTCGACAGTTGAAGTATGCAATAATCCACAGTTCAGCTAAAAGTGACACTTAAATGTTGAAATCAAAAGTATTTTTTGCACCAGCAAACCTGGCTTTATATACAAAACACAATAACATCCCACAAAGCCAGGTTTGCACATGCTCAACCTTGCATATGCCATCTTTATCCACTGTGATATAAACATAAGGATAAGGCAGCCCTTGGCCATTATTCAAACCATTAACAGAAAGGACAATTGTCTATTTCAAAATGTCACAAGTTACCTTTTTTGCAAGAAAACATGGCTAATTGCCAATTAATGATTCATGACTAGTGTGCACCAGAGAAAGTGGCTTATTCAAGGACCTCTATATGCATCCAAATTGAACTGAAAGAAAATACAGAAATTAAACTAGAAGGGTGCTCAATAGACAGCATACATCTGTCACACAGTGTGGATCATATTCAGCTCTCAAAAAATAAGAAAATGTGTCTGTATGTCCGTCGTTATCAATGAACAGCATCATGTTTGGCAGGACAATGAGGAATAATATTCTACATATGTCCACCAAGTTTCATCAAAATCCAATAATTTTTGACTGAGCTATAAAAGAAAAATAGTATGAAAATCAGTTCCCATGTTAACAGATAGGGATTTTTGGATTTTCATGACTTTGCTGTAACCTTGACCCTCCAAAACTAATCACTTCTAAGTTGGATCATAGTCCAAATGTATGCCAAACTTTCATCCAAATCCATCTATCAGTTTTCTGACAAACAAACACACATACAAAGGGGTGAAAACATAACCTCCGTCCAACTTCGGTGGTGGAGGTAAAAAACATTATATGTTAACTAAGGGGGGAGCTAATGCATGGTACAGTCCTGTTCATGAAATCAAAATAACTCATCCTACCCCGAGTAAAACTATAACACCAATAAAAACAGCTTCATAAAGAATAAAATAAAAAAGTTAATAAAGTTCACTAATCCACTAATCAAGTGAAAACTGAGACATTCTGATGCTCATATCAATAAAACTAACAAGCTCAATGTTTCTTTAAGTAATGCCCAACAGGCAGTAACTACAGTTAACTTCATAATTTAAGACCTTAACATTCTG